GAAAAATCAGAAAGAAAACTTGATCCTATAATGTTACGAAGACAAGTGTATCTGTGGTAGAAGCAATAATTTCCACATTAGAGGCTCTGAGGTCAGCCCATTTATGACCATCCACGTATCCTTGATAACAATTTTATTCTCCACATTGTTGATATGAAGTCAACGTGGCCATGGTCCCCTACCTCCCTGTACATGGCTGAAGCTACAGCTGCTTCCTAAGTTACTGTAACACATGGCTTCTACATGGAGATTTAGTTAATTAACAACCAGACTGAGAAATTGGTTTTTTAAGGAGAGGCCAAAGAAAAAGTGCAATGGAAAATGATTAAGTACGCAAAGTTCTTCACAGATCATAATCTTAAGTGACTGTAATTTCTTGGAGTAGTGTTTTTGATTCATGACACCTATAGTTTTTGTGCCATAACCTCCAAGTTTTGATTTATACAAAATTTCTTCAAAGGGATTGAATCTTGATTTCAGTAATAAAGGTAAAGAGGCTAAAGACCATATGTTTAAAGCAAACAAAAAAAAAAAGGGACCATAATTAATGTGCTTTATTGTCAATGCTTTATTGAAGTCCTCCTGACAATTGTGCTTTTACTTTGAGAGTATACGTGAAAAGAACTATACAAATGCTATAAGCAATAACCTAATATGTTGCTTCTTCAATAGTGGCAATCCAACAGGTGAATGATCCTTCTTTTGGGTTCAATGTAAGAAATGCATGCAATTTCAAAGTCGTTGAAATTCAGGTAATTGATTCATCCACCTTTGGCCAACAACAAAGATTTAGTCAAATACTTTAATACTCTTTATCCGTGTTGTGATTAGCTCACAAGTCAAACAACCCTCTTCCTTTGCTTGCTCGTCTTAATTACATGTTGCCTTGTGTCTGGATTTGGTTCTAGAACAGCCTTAATTTAGTTTAAAATCTTGAAATGCTACACAATCAATATAATATGAACACATTACATAAAATATCATACAAAGTATGAAGGCTAAGAATTAACAAACTTATATTTTTGCTGCCATGTTCGGTGTCCACAAGACAGTGTAATCTCCTTGGTATTACACCTTTCCAGATTTTCTCTATTGCCGTGGCAATTTCTCCAGGCACATTCAATACTTAATCCCAGTAAATAAACGTCATCACCTTTATTAATTTACCCCAGCATTACTTCTTACAGTAATTACCTGTCACAAATCCAGGTTATCCTTGACAAGTTATTGCCTTAAATAGGCACCACGTAATTGAGTTGACTCCTCCATGTTCACAAAATTATTAACAAATTATTTGTAATTTTGTACAAAATGTCGTTAGATTATTGTTGTGAGGTGTTCAGTTGCCTCCAACAAACTTTGAATAACAGTCCGTATTTCTTCCACTCTTCTGTATCTCCAAAACCTCCAACACCAATTAAACTAATGTAGATTTCAGTTCACATCCTTCAAGATTTCTATCTCTTAAGGAGGTTCAAACGTGTGGCCGCTGTACAATCTTTTTGAGACCTGCTCAATCTTAGCCATGTTTTCTTCATTACAACTAATACGTACAAAGTACATAATTTTCAAATAACATAATTGAACTGTATCGAGAGTGCATGAGCATGATATTAGGGACAAATAATTCTTTATATATAGCAGCTGGATTCCATGTATATTGTATGATGTAAGCCATTAAGTACGTACGTAGCTTCATGCAGATACGTGCGGGTGTATACACAATGACATAATGCGTTGAGGATGGATGTCAAGGTATGAATTTGGATGAAGGAAAATCCCAGATGTTTCTGGCACTTTGCACCACGCTTGAAGATTACGTGGAAGTCTTTGGTTCAAAAAAAGACTTTCAGAATTTATAAAACAATTGATAAAAATTCAATTAGAATGGGTGACGATTAGCGCTGTCAAACAAACGAGCTATTCGAAAACTCGATTGAGTTCGACTTGATGAGGCTCGAACTCGACTCGTCAATTTTAGTAAATGAGTCGAGTTCGAACTAGAAATTTACTCGATTAATTAACGAATCAAGTAAATTCGAATCGTTTGTTATTCGATTCGAATAGCTCGCTTGGATTCGATAAGAAAAGACATATATGTCATTTTACAAGTCAAAAGTATAGAAACTGAAAATTACAAGTTTTTATTGTGATCAATTCGCACTCGAACTCGAGCTCGAGTCACACATCCTATTAGGCGAGCCGATTTCGAGCACACTTCAAGACTCATCCGCTTAGTCGAGCGAGTTCGACCCTGGCTCGAACTAAGCACGAGTCGAGTTTGACAGTCAAATACTCAGTTCGATTAACAGCACTACTGATGATAGATTGATAATCGTTCATTTTTTTTTATGCATTATGCATGTTTGTGCATGCATGGCTACTGTTCGTGTCCTTCTTTGTCTTTTCCGCCTTCTTGGTTTCATCACAAAAAGAATATCTTTTTCTATTGCAGATTAATTTTCAAATTACACCAGCCCTTCTCAAATGTAATTCAAAGTATATATGAGTGAAGGAAAGTGATTTAGGAAAATGCTAAATGAGGTTAGTCGCACATCATGGTGTTCAAGGGGGGGAAAAAAAGGATAACGCATTTATCCTTAATTAAACTCGTTATAAAAAGTGATAAAACTAAATCACGAATTGAACGCACGATGCTTCACTTGTTAAGAGAGATCTCATCGATAAACATTCAACGAAATTGAACTCATGAGGTTGCAATGTTGTAGAAAAGTTTAATTTGTTGTACAATTAACACATAATAGCCTCCAAGCTGGTTAATTAACAGGGTGACCTTAATGCAAAAAGAAAAAGAAAACAAAGCGAAAGCAACGATCTTTAACAAATCAATACCAAAGTCTGATTGGCCTCCTTGGTAATGCTAATGTAATCTTAACTCTAAGTGGATTGTTTCAACTTTGAACCTACAATCTATTACACTAAAGATCAATAATTGGAAGAACGGTGGAAAAATCATAGAAAACAAGAACAAAAATAAAATTACAAAGATTTCAAGCCTTCTCTATAAAAGGAAGTCTCCCTCAAAAAAAGTATCCATTGTAGCCTCAGGCAAAGCCAACCCAACCCAACCTCATTGCCACCATCAACAGCATCCCTTCTTTCATAAAGTGAAATTGCTTGTCCAAATTGATATTGCTTCAAAACCCAAAGTCCAATTCGTCAGAGCCCAATTAAGGTGATCCGATAATCATCACATGGGGCTCCGACCCAAATAAAACTTTGCAATCCGAAATAACACTTGTCCGCTCTACACAACAGTTCTCTATCCAACTCTTTAATCCTCAATAGCTTTTGCCACATATACAATTCCATTTTCCCCCACTAATTACAGTTACCACTAATTATTGTTACCAATATACAAAAGATAGGCAAGAGTATCCTTAACCGATTGATTTCAAAGTATATCTACAGCCTCTAACCAATGACATTAAATAGTTTCTATCACGTATCATCCATAAGGTTTACAATTGATGTGCCTTTTTTTCTCTTTTTTTTTCCTATTTAGTAAAAAAAGAAGAAGCAAAAAAAAAAAAAAGAAGAAGAAGAAGAAGAAAACAGATGATTTTATGTTGAATTTGCAAACTAATACCTAGTTCTAGATTTATTTATTTTTAATAAGAATACAAGATTAAAGACCAAACCCACAATAATTGGTGGACTTGACAAATTTGAATTTGGATAGGAATTTCATGGTGCCTGGATCACCAAAGTTTAACTTCTATAAACTGGATTTTGGATGGGCGAATCCCAGAAGGTCTGTGTTCGTTTCAATTGACAAAACAGGGGCAATATCTATTTGTGGAGGCAGAGATTGCAACAGGGATGTGGAGGTTGGTTTGTCTCTTCTGAGGGTCTTAGAGAAATGCAGAATTTTCTCTTCTGTTTTTGGATTCTTGTATATGTCAAACTCAAAATACATAGTGTCAGAAAGAATTGGACTCTGCAAATTCCATTGTAAAATACTATAAAAAATTATCTTATTCACTATCTCCCTATTCTGTTTCATTTTCTTGCCCATGACAAGCAAACCGCTTACTTAAAGCAATAATCTTTTTTTGAAGCAATACTAGTTTTTAGTAAAATGTTGTTGTTATAATTAATCCTATACTAAGAGAAGGGGAGAAAAATGGACATATCTAATCTATTGAAAAGCTCGAAAGAAGTTGTATAACTTTCAACCATACTCCAAAAAATTCTAGAGAGAAAACACAGTCAACAGAGTTCGACCCTCTAACTTGTGCCGAAGGAAGGATTTAGTCCCTCCTTTGGTGGTCAACTGAGCTAACTCAGTTAGTTAAGGTATAGTCTTCGGTTGCATTATTGCTAAATTTGAATTCTGAAGAGGAATTTAGTGAATGAGCTTGAAATGAACATTTTTTTTTTTAAGGAAAAATGAACAGATTTGAAACGCACACTCATTTCAAATATATCGTTTGGTTAACATTACCAAAGATAGAATTTAGTCCACAATAGTTTGGGTAAAAAGTTAAAGAATAACAAATTTAGGAGTGAGTAACTATCAAATTTTCTTTCTTTTTCTTACGTGGCTAACTCGTTGGTTCTATACTAGTTTAGTTCTGATCATTACAACAAGCACAATCATTGTGATGATTTCACTCTCCTAGAAAGAGAAGCTCGCACATATAGGGGTGTATTCAAGTCAATCTCGAGTAATGCAATACTTGAATTCGAGCTCGAATTCATCGAGCATTTAAAATTCAAGTTCAAAATCAAGCTCGACTTGAATTTACCGTACTCAAGTTCAAACTATCCATTGATTTCCATTATATATCTACTTGTCTCTCTCTTTCTACGTGTCTCGAATTCATCGAGCATTTAAAATTCAAGTTCAAAATCAAGCTCGACTTGAATTTACCGTACTCAAGTTCAAACTATCCATTGATTTCCATTATATATCTACTTGTCTCTCTCTTTCTACGTGTCCTTTACCTCATAATCTAAAAGATGCTATTAGGGAATGCAAAAAAAAAGGGGTTGAATATGAATTCACAAAACCAGAATTATTAGGGAATAAAAATTTTAGAGGAAAGGTGGGAAAACAATAGATTACAAAAGTACAATAAAGTCACAAAGTCTTCAAGCCTTCTCTAAAAAGGGAGTCAAAAGCATCCATTTTGGCCTTGGGCAAAGCCAATCCAACCTCAATCCCGTGAAAAACATCTCTGCTTTCACAAAGTGAAATTGCACGGGTTTTACTGATGGATACTTCTTCCACTTTCGTGGGTCTGCCCCACCCGAAGTCCAATTCATAAGAGCCCACTTTCGGTGACCCGGTAATCATGACATGGGGCTCCGACCCAAACAAGACTTCCCAATCCGAAATCCATTTATCTGCTTCGCCCAAAACTTCTCTATCCAACTCCTTAATTGTATCCCCAATCGCTTTTGCAGCATATATGATACCATTTTCTCCCACTAGTTGATCCCTCTTCACCATGGATCGACCAAATGCAATGCAATTACCAATGTAAGATTTAGGCACAGAGAATCCTAACCGGGTGATGCCACCTGCAATAAACCCAAAGTAATGTGGCTTTTCAGGAAAATCTCCACCATGGATTAAGTGGATTTTCGTCCAACACACCCAAACAAATGCACAAGTTACCACATAGGGAGACAAATATAACCGGGTTGACCCGAATATATTCATGGACCGGGTCATGATCCACCCTTTTATTTTCTCCATCTCTATTGGACCCACAACAAATGTGGCTCTTACTATTTCATCAAAATTTGAACCATTAGCGTATTTTACCACATCTTTTTGCAGACTCTTGAGGTGCCACCATTGTTTCAAGAAAATTAGCTCCAGCCCACTTGGATAATGGATCAAAGTCCTGTCATTACATGGCAAAAAATTGTCCACCAAAACGAGTGGGGGACATTTGTTACCTGCTTCACCAAGAATGGATGCCCATGTCTTCAAGAAATTGTCAAATGTTCTCCCATCAGCAGCCACTTGTCTCAATGCAAATCCCATGCAGACACCAAATCGAGGAAAAATAGTTATTTGCACGGCTAGAAGTGGAAGTCTAGCAGTTGTCTCAACTGGCATGCTAAGTGTCAGCTGAGGTACAAGCTGGTAAAAATCTTGTACATTTATTGGCTGATAACTAGAAAGAAAAGCAAAATCACAGCTAGACTCACCAATGATCAAAGCAACTGAGTCCCCTTCAGTGTAACTGAGGTGGGGCTTGGAGGGTTGTGGAGGAATAACCAAATTTCCAGCAAGAGGAAAGAAATATTGGAGAGTTGAGGACAAAGAATGATTGAGGTTTGGAAGTATGTTATGTATGAAATCATGAGTACTGAAGTTGGGAAAATCATAGAAGAAAAGGGGTTGGTTTGGGGTGAAAAGAAGCCAAGGGATATCAAAGAAAGTTAATGGAATAGTTGTTGATGGCACTGATCCTTGTGGTGGGGAGATTTGGCAGCATTGAAGCACCTTCACTGTGTGTGAAGAAGTCATTTGTGTCATGTGTGAAAATGTTGAGAAAGATGGATTATATATAGGCTTACACTTGGGTAGATCCATGTTAAAAAATGTTGAAGCACCTTCATTGTGCGTGAAGAAATCATCATTTGTGTCAGGTGTGAAAATGTTGTGAAAGATGGATTGTACATAGGGTCACACTTGGGCAAATCCCATGTTAAAAAACGTTGTAAAACCTTCACTGTGTGTGAAGAGCCATTTGTATCGTGAAAAAACTGAGAAAGATGGATTGTATAGACTCACACTTGGGTAGATTTTATGTTAAAAACTCAATGATTCACAATAGATCACATCACTTGGTGAAGTTGCGTGGCACAATTTGGATTATTGACTTTTTGAAAATTGAGTCTACACAAATTTTGACCTTGTATATAGAGCTGATACGATCCATTAATCACTGTTCATTAATACAAAATGATGAGTGTCTTGGGAGCAATATCCTGCTGGGATTTTTTTTTTTTTTTTGGGTAGTAAAAGACGTTAATAGCAAATAGCATTCAGTTTACAGCAATCCTGCAGGGAATCTTGTTATCATTCATATTCCTTTTTTTTTTTTTTCGAAACGATAAGTTTTGCTCATTCATATACATTATTGGTAAAGTTTTAGAAAAGTGCAACATATTGTGCATCACTCGTTGATGATGTACCGACAAAAAATATCCTATGAAAATTACGCGGCAGACTCCATTTGATGACACAGATGATTTATTGTGGTGGGTGTCACAATGATTCCTACAATTATTGTTCCAACATTCATGTGCCTTTGTCTTTTTTATTCACAAAAAAAAAAAAAAAAAAAAACACACAAAAGGAAACCAATTGACTAACCTCTCCACCCACTCTCAATTGCCTTATTACCAGTAGTACTTGCCTACTAGCTAACAGCCTAGATTACTTACCACAAAATCAGGGCCTCAAAAATTATTTTAACCCAATTAATTACCTCAAGATCGAAGGCCTCAGCAGTAATCTTTACCTAATTACTTGCACCAAAACCTCGAAAAATTAAAAATTAAAAAAAAAAATTGTCTCTTTGTTGTTGGATCAAGATTGCCTCATAACTATAGCTACTGCCTACTAGTCGTTAACTACCTAACGGACTTGCTCCAAGATCAAGGGATGAAAGCAACCTTCTTACTTTTCGGATCAAGAACATCTGCAATTACCAATTCTACACTCCCAGACCTGCATAATCCACATAACCAAATATGGCTCCTTCCGGGGAACCAACCACCGTGCTTGACCGTTGTCTAGCGACACCACCGCCGGGGCTGGTGTCCAGAATGTCACTCCGCCTAAGTTTTTTTGACATCCTATGGTTACACGCCCCACCCGTCCAACGCCTTGTTTTCTACGAAATCCCTGAGATCACAAAAACCAATTTTATCGAAGAAATCATCCCAAAACTTAGAGATTCCCTTAACTTAACCCTCAAATATTATATCCCATTAGCGGGAAACTTGATCATCCCGCCAAATTCTGGTCCGGACTCGCCCGAAATCCTGTACAAACGTGGAAATTCAGTACCCTTGATCGTCGCGGAGTCGAATGCGATGGATTTTGAATGGTTAGTGGCAAATCATGCAAGAGACAGTTCTGATTTTCATTGCTTGGTTCCCAAATTGGTACAATCGACGGATGATTCCGGGTCGATTCTATCTTCGGTGCTGGCTCTCCAGGTTACATTGTTTCCCAACATGGGATTCTCCATTGGGATAACAAGCCATCAAGCGGCCGGAGATGCTTGCACCATTTTTAGGTTCTCGAGGATTTGGGCGTTTCATGCCAAAGCTGGAGAAGCCGAAGCTGAGGAAAAGGTGAACGCACCATGTGGAGGACCACTAGGGTCACCATGTTGTTATAGAACTATCATCAAAGACCCAAAGGGTCTCTCCTCAATTTTCTGGAACCAATGGAACAACATCAGTAAACTTGATCGTGGTTCAGGCATTTCATCGAACAGCTATAAAGTTCGACAAACTTTTCTTATTAGCCCAGAACAGGTTGAAAATATTAGGAAGTTAGTGCCAACTATGCTCCGAGGGCAAGCTTATATGAAATCTTTCAAAGTTGTTTGTGCATATGTTTGGATATGTTTAGTAAAATCCCGCGGCGAGGAGGCAGTTGATGAGGAAGAAGTAGAGAACTTTGTCTGCTTTGGGAATTGCAGAAGGCGTTTGGATCATCTTGTGGCTGAAAACTATTTTGGGAATTGCATTACACTGTGCATAGCAAAGATGAAAAATGGTGAACTTGTGGGAGGAGGAGGAATCCCTCGTGCAGTTGGGTTGATTGGCGCAGCCATGAATGAGAAATTGCAAAGCCAAGAGGCACTCTCTAATGGTGCTGAAAATTGGTTGGTGGACTTGCAGAATTTGAATTTGGATAGGACTTTTATGGTGGCTGGATCACCAAAGTTTAATTTTTATCAACTGGATTTTGGATGGGGGAGGCCCAGAAGGTTTGAGTTTGTTTCAATTGATGAAACAGGGGCGGTATCTCTTTGTGGGGGCAGAGATCGCAACAGCGATATAGAGGTTGGTTTGTCTCTTCCCAAGGCTAGAATGGATGCCTTCGCTGCAATTTTCAACCAGGGTCTTAAAGATTTGTAGGATTTATTTTTTGCTTCTTGATCGAAATGTCACCGTGTAAGTTTAGTAACTTTAGTTAGCCGATGAAGTGGGAGAATCCAAAGTCATATAAAATCATAGAACCAAGTTCCATACTTCCACTCGTGATTCAAGTTGCATGCCTCACAAGTGCATCACAACGCCATAGCCACACACAAAGTGATTTCAAGGTCCAATTTTGGCAAAACTTCAAGTAGAATTATATTTTTTTTTAAATTCTATGTATTTAGTTTTTTGGAACATACACTTGCCAAGGTTCAAATTATCGACTTGATTTGTGAAATATGCAGACAGTGAAATCAGAAATAGGCATCTCTACTTAAAGTTTCTTCTTATTGATCCTGCACACTTTGTCATTGTAACCTTATCAACAGTTGGCACATAATTGCACCTGCCCACCAAAACATCATAATTGCTCCAGCTCCTGTTTTCTCTTTTGGTATGCTTATTACTACTGGTAGCAGCAATGTTAATCTTGATACTGCCCTATAGTGACACTTGCTCCTCTCCGATGGATTTTCTTTCCATTTTTCATAGTGTATATCTGTGACACGTATTTTCATTTATTAACAAGGGTTAGAATTAGTCAAAATTTAAAATAATCATGTGTTTAATTAGAAAACTAACAAGAAAAGCACAATTATTTTGCCAAAACTTCAAGTAGAATTATATATATTTTTTTAATTCTATGTATTTAGTTTTTTGGAACATACACTTGCCAAGGTTCAAATCATTGACTCGATTTGTGAAATTTGCAGACAGTGAAATCAGAAATAGACATCTCTACTTAAAATTTCTTCTTATTGATCCTGCACACACTGTCATTGTAACCTGCCCACCAAAACATCATAATTTCTCCAGCTCCTGTTTTCTCTTTTGGTATTCTTAGTACTACTGGTAGCAGCAATGTTAATCTTGTCACTATAGGCCTATAGTGACACTTGCTCCTCTCCTATGGATTTTCTTTCCATTTTTCGTAGTGTATATCTATGACACGTGTTTTCATTTATTAACAAGGGTTAGAATTAGTCAAAATTTAAAATAATCATGTTTCTCCTTAATAAATGAAAACACATGTTACTACAAGAAAATAGGCTTATTGTGATGCCAGAATTGTGCGGCAAAAAGTCAAAAAAGTGCCACAAAAACCTTTTAGCGACACAAAAGCGACAGAATTCAATTGTGTCGCAAAAGTATGCGTTACAAAAGAAGACGACGCAATTTGGATATGTGTCGCATGTATTTGCGTTACTTTTTGCGATGCTTGAGTGTCGCCACTCTACTTGCGGCACAAAAAATACGCTGCAAAAAAATGTCCACAATGTTATGCGACATAAACTTGTGTCGCAAAAAAGTCACTAATATAAAGGTTAGAAATCAAATTTTTTTTTTATGGTACAACATTTATCTTGCTCAAATATGCTAAAAGTGAATATCATAACAAAATTAAAATTTCACAATACACTAGAATAAAGTGTCATACACTGTTTTGGTCAAATTCTACAAACTTTATCATTTAATATAGTTCACTCCAATGACAAGATGTTTTATATATCCCAAGAAGTGCTTGTCTTCAAAAACACAACTTCATCACACATCTCTCAAAAATATCTTCATATCTCAAAATCCAGAAACAACACAAAAAATATGATCGTAACCATTCTTGAATACCCAATAGAACTACATTCAATAAAGTTCACATCCAAATTTGAGAAAGTAACATATATCCACTACCCAATAGAACTACATTCAATAAAATTTCAATGGGGGAGGAGAAGAACTTAAGAAGAATGAGCAGACTCTCAAGATGAAAGGTGTGCTCCACTATCTGCTAAAGAAATGCAATCTCAGGACCACACAACTTCCTTACAGACAGTACGCTTCACAATAAATCGCCTGGGTTCCATAACAGCCAACCGACTATATCAAAATCATTGAAAAAAAACTGTAAGGGGATTAATTCTCTAAAGTTTGCTCTCAAAATTAAATGCCAAAGCCAATTTCTCTTCAATCTATAGAAACTCTAAATGCCATAACTACTCACTCATTTATGGTCTGCTTCCCTTATTCTAATTTGACTTTTAAGGTTGTTCAGCATTCATTTTCCCCATCCAACAAAATCAGTTGAATGTCATTGTGGAACTCAATTTGTATCTATTTAGCTTTAATGACTACATCCTCAGGGCAACTTGAATTTCAACATATGTGGCGTTGAAACTGACAGGCATGAAATAAACAAGGTTTGCATTACGTATCCATGCTGGCTGTGCATGCTCAATAGCAGCAAAACTCAACAATGAGAATGCCAGCTGCAATTTGATCTCAATCCACACTCAAGCTGACAGTGCAAGGTGCATAAAGAAGTGAAGATTACCTTGACAGGGTCAGGAGCAAACTTAAGCTAAACCCCCATCCAATCTGGCACACCGTCCTTACCGCCTGTATCTTCATCTTTCAATCCATTGGATTTGGAAGAAAATGCTGCCTTGAATTTTTCCAGTCTCTTCAGCACCTAAGAATCACAGAAATAAATGAAATCAAGAGTGTTAACCATCTATAGGAAGGTTGAATATAGATAATAGCACGTCCATATCTTTACTTTTCATCCGTTTTCTCCATCAAGTCATTGCAAAAATTTCCAGATCCAATACAGCTGCAGCCCTCCTTCCAGAGAACACAACCACATCATTTGAAACAAAAAAGTTTTGTGCTCTGACCTCGGTCAATGAATTTAACAGAGGATTATACACCTTGGGAAAATATTATGTAAAAAGCGTTGGACCTCTCCTCTTATGTTTTTCTTTCTTGTTTTGTTTCCCTTTTCTAATGCTGGGATTATACACAATAAAATGATCAATATGAATGTCAAATGCATACTTCATCCTCGCGTCCTTGGCGTCTGCGCTTCTTTTGCTTCTGTAGCTGTCTTTCACGTTCAGCATTGTTCATCAACTGCAGGTCAGCATCTGCATTAGCCATGAGTTCAGCTGAAGGTTTGGACTACCCACTCTGAGCAAAGGTACTATTATAAAATATGTTCAAAACATCTCATCCAGCATGAGGTTTCATTTGAATCATTTTTCTGCATCTTATTCACCCTATGGATCTGGCTAACGGTTGAAGTGTCACAATCAGTCTAGGAGTCATAAAAATACCGAAAAAATTCTTGTTATGTCGGACTGCTTTCACTGGGCAGCAGGAAGGATTACTGCTTGAGCCAATCCATAATCATGTAAAACATACTGAAAAATGTCATAAAAAAGCATATAAAAGCAGCTTAGTTGCAGGTGTATGGTAATTTCATGATGACATCAAAGCATTTCAGGAGAATAATAATAAAACACTTTCTATCAGGTCAAAAAATATTATATATATAGTTGTAAATTGCCACTCTCTAAAATTTGCAAATCCAATTAAGTCCAAAGTACCAAATGCTAAGCATTATAACACTAAATTTGGCTAGAACAGATACAAGTAGACTATGTTAATTGGCATGAATACAAAAGATTTGTAAGCTATAGGTTCATTTTAACTCTCTGCAGAAAACAAACTTAACCTTATCCGTCTTTTGTTCAGTTGGAAGAACACCAAGCTCCACTCTTTTTTGCAGTATCTGCTGACGCATCCTTGCATCAAAGTTTGCCTCATCTTCATCCACTAAAATCAGAAGCTTCAGGCAACTTGGCATCTGATTGTCCCTCTGATTCTTCCCTTTTTGAACGCAGATCCTCTCTGACTGTCAACTGCTTATCCCTTGTAGCTTTAACTTCAGATGCTATCTGCATTAGCAACTTCATTTAAGTGTATGTCCAAGCAATTTATTTATTACTGATCAGGAGAAAATAAATCATATTCGTTGTTCCCCTCAACAAGCGCATGTGATTCAACATTCATAAAGTTTGTCCCTCCAAAACTGACAGCATGTAGGTGAAGAAAAACTCTTGCAAAATCTATAAAAAAAAAATACTAGGTGGATTCCTGGGAACACCAACAATAAAAGCATTGTGAAGACAAAAAGCATATTACTTTCCATACTTTATTAAACCCATCGAAATTTTAGGACATCAAAAACTCTGAGTTAACATTTTTCATGTGATTGGTCAAAAGATGCACTTTATCTTTAAAAACGTAGTCTCAGAGAATAGACAACTTCTAAGAGTTAGCCTTTGCTTCTTTACGGTAGAGTTTTCTTCCCAATATTTCTCTATAAGTGTCTGGATCCTGTTTCCCTTTTTCCTGCAATTCGTTTACCTAACAGATATGAAAGCTGGCCTATGTGTTTGAATGCCTAGCTTATCAACAATATGTCGGGAGACATAACTCGGTTCCTGCACTATCATTGACAACTGAAAATTGCTTCCACTGCAGAAATCTTCCGAAGCTAAGATATTGGATGGCTGCCAAAATCTCATGATGGAGGAATTTATAGCACCGTCATGAAATGATGATGCAGGAAAGTTTTACCATCTAGATCCTCTCCAGTTGCTCTCTAAACATTAAAAAAGGTACTTTAACAATCAGTACAGTAGTGCTGTTATGAAACAGTTTCACCATTTTGCACTGAGACTAGTAAGAAGACATTAGACTTTTGCAAGTCAAATAGCTAATCAGTAGATGGTTAACAAGCTCCTAACAGATCATGAGGTGAAGAACCACAGTTATTATTGATTTCCTTGACAAAAAAGAATAAATGATTACCACATCATCAGTATGATTCTCCTCTTTCAGAAGACATGGATCATCTAATACATCATCCGGGTCTTGACATTAGCCAATTCCTTCTCCTCCTCATCTGCTTCTTCTCCAAATGAAAGCAAGTTCAACTTTCTATAGCAAGCACCCAAAAAACATGGTCGGCAACAAACAGTTAAATCATATAATATACCTTAAAGACAGCAGTTAATCATACAAAAGGCAGGCAAGGAAACATGCTTTGTAACTTTCTGCTTGGTGTCTTTCTTCTCAGTTTCAACTTTAGAAGACTGCAAGGACTTTGAAGATGCTACCGTGGGAACGATATCCTAAAATGGATTCCACAATACCTAGACAGCCATTTGAAGACAAAAATTAGGCAATTAACCAATTAGAAACAATATTTTGCAATGATGAGGGGATAGAAAATCCATTATTGAGTATCTTTCCCTTCTTTTTACTCAATTATCACCTATTCGGATGGACAAATTAATACAGTACACACAATCTTTCTATAGAGACATTTTACACAAAAGAGAAATTCAAATGAAATTACAATAGTCAACAATTAGATCCTACCAACATTTTAAAGCACAGATAACCAGATAAAAATGCTATACTTGCCAAAATTACCAATAGAGGCAAAAAAATCCTACTTAGGCGCTGATTTTCATGTTGCAAAAGGATCGGATATCCATGATGATTGTCTTTCCTTTCCTCTTGCACATCAAGCAACCTACTCAAAGTTGTTATGATAAACTAACCCAAAATCTTTTAATTTGAAAAAAAAGGACTACTATGATAAGATTAGTACTGGTGTGTCTTTACCCAGATTCAAAGGATCAATGACTCCTCTGATGGCTCCAATATCTCTGCTTTCCGAAGATTGGTTGAAGTTTTCTGCTTATAAGAAGAGAGCATTAGGTTTCTCCCTTGGCCTGTTGTCATCCATGAATCATGATCTGTCATACAATCTCTATTGGCGTACCTTGAGTGACCCATCACAAATATCTTCCAGGACCGTAAGGAGGCATCTTAAAGTACTGGGCATCACACATATTCAAATTTCCTATTTTAACTGATATCAGAGCACTTTAATGCTCAGTTCAGAAATCACATTCCCTGCAATCAGATATAGGACATGTATAATTTGCTTTATCTGCATGCATGGTCTCTCTAAATTTTGTTTACAACTCCAGCTAACTATACCACTAGTCAACTTGGACAGTTGGGATTTGCATAAATGCCTTTGAATAATTTTATCTTCGCAGTAAACAGATGGCAAAAGTTTTTTTTTTTTTTGGGTTATAAAGGTACAGTTTTAACTCTTAAAAATATCACTTACTAAATCCAGCTGACTCACAAATAAGAGAACTTATTCTTTGATGACAATAAAATAGGATGACAAGAATAGCCAACATGTTCTGTCTCTCTCTCATTCTGCTAATTCTAAAATTAGAAAAGTAATAATTTGTTAATTAAAAACTTCACTTACTAAATCCAGCTAACTCATGAAAGATTAATGTAACTAATCTGCACTAATTATATTATATTAATATCAGCAAACAGATGCCTCTAATCATAGCCAGTAAAGAATATGTTCTTTCGTACTTAACTTTTGTGTTTGGTGAGATTAAAGAAGATCACATATGAACGTGTAGCATGATTGGAAATTGATCTTTCTGATTATTAATTGATTTAGATAACTATCGGTCATTAATTAGCAAAGGAAAGGACCCACGTGCTATTTCAGCAATCTGAAGATGCATTTATGGAATCAACTCTGACAAAGTTATTATTCTTATATTAGCCGGAATTAGGAATCGAAGGTATTTTTACATCATTAGGAATGAAGGGAATTGAGGTGTGGAATTGAGTGCTCCTAGTGGATAGCTCAGCTGGTTCGGTCATTTGTCTTTACAGCAAGGTTCCAGATTCGACACCCACTTGCTACCGTTGCTGGGCATCTTTGGGGTGAGCTCTGCCCAACTTGGGGGATTAGTTCGGGTGATTTCGGGACGATCCTCTAGACCATAAAAATAAAAAAAGAGGTGGAATCGAGAGGTGGAAGAGAGAGAGGGAACATCGTTTGCTTTCAGATTTTGGAATTGAGAGGTGGAATTGATTTACGAATTCAGACTTTGCTTTCAGTTTGGTATTTAGGTATATTTAGAACCTCATTTCTTTGGCCTTTTTTTTGGGCTTTATTAAAATTATGTTGTTTTTGTGCAAAAGTTATGAACCATTGTGAAATTTGCTGCTTATTTGCCGCACTTTCTCCTTGTGCTGCAGCAAAAACGTTGCAGAAAGCGTGTTTTCTTGTAGTGTATCACACATCTAAATGTGCATTGTAAAAAATCGGAGGAGAATCAACTGGAAAGGAGCCAAATTTCCTTATAATGATCCAAATCAAGCGGCATTTAATGCAACAAAATTTTAGTAGTTAATAGTATCAGTTTTTTTAAAAGGAAACAGAAAAAAATACCATGCTTATATCAAAACTCAAAAGCACCTAAGTACCAGACCGGATTTGGACTGCTGATCGATTTGGCCGCAAATCTACCTCTGTCGTGAACTTGCAATCCATCTTTTACTTGTAAATTATAATTGGATAAAAATATGTGGTAAATGATGACAAACTCAAAAACACTCCAAGTAAAAGTACACTACTTCAAACTGTTTCGTCAAACGACATCATATAACCGAGTTGGATTACTCGGAATTTTTGTTCAATTAATCAGCAATGTCCAAGTACTACTACTTTAACTTGGGGGACTGAAGGAGACATGGAAGATTAGAGGAAGAAAAATCCTAATTTGCAATCAAGATTGCATTTTACGCTTTTGCTGATGGCCAACTCACCTAAAACGAGTTGGTTGGTTTCTCGTGTCCCTCCTTATCACATAAATGGCATAGAGTTATCTACTTATACAATCCAATTCTTATTAATAAAAACTTTAAAAATAGTTCAGACTTTTGAATTCTTCCCAAATAAAGGTTTCACCATTTAAAAAGGCGACTTCAAAGTCACAATTTCAAATGTGTCGACTGAGGTGATTTGTCCTTGGTTACCATTTGCATCTAGTTTTCTTATCCTAAAGTCATCCTCTCAAATGTTGAATTGACGACTTTCTCCCAAATAAAGAAATCTTTAACTTGGAAAGAACTCAAATTTTGGTTTAATTCCAGAGTTTTGAATAAAGATTATTTAGTTAAAAATCTCAAATTGTATGGGCGTTACCGTTCCATTTTTGCTTTTTCAAAGAAAAAAAACATATTAAGTGTAGTATGTCAAATGACTCAAATCTCAAGTCAAATCTATTAGTGCTAGTCTTTTCAATAAAATTTTTTGGTAATAAAAGTAAAAGTAATTCATAAATCTAGTCTTTTCAAATACTTCACTAATTTCTTAGGTCTTAAGAAACACAACACATCGCCCCCATGTGAATGGGCTGGTGGTTGGCGCCTCTTCCTCGGGACTGTCAGGTCCTGGGGTCGAACCTCCGCAGCAACATCGGCTTCTCCGTGCATCTAACGTGCTAGGTCTGGTTGGGGCGCCAGACCGGGCCGAAGTGGGATTAGTCGGGCCGCCTTTACGGAATTGACCCGGACACCCACTCCGTCGACAAAAAAAAAAAAAAAGAAACACAACACATCACACTAGACATATTAGTTGCTCTGGAGGGCATAAAGTTTTTTAACACGCACGCACCTTTCAAACTTTTCCACAAGCGAGCCTGTCATCCACTATCAAGTCAGGTCTACTCGCTGCTGTTTAAATTCCAAGTACTTCAACAATCCCAGAATTTTAAAACGCAGAAAAGTACAACTTTACTCCCTCTGTAATTGAACGTCCTCTCATTGATTTTTTTCTGAAGCAGTAGAACCAAGCATTGCAATGGCTGGAAAAAGTGCCCCGGCGATTGGAATCGATCTGGGTACCACGTACTCGTGCGTGGCTGTCTGGGAACACGACCGTGTTGAAATCATAGCTAATGATCAGGGTAACAGGACGACGCCGTCTTATGTGGCTTTCACTGACACCGAGCGTTTCGTTGGTGATGCTGCTCAGAACCAGGCTGCCATCAATCCCGTCAACACCATTTTCGGTGAGAAAATGTCATTAAGTAGCATTCTTTTACTAGAGATCCTAAATTTTAATTTTTTTTTTAAAAAAAATAAGTAGATTGGTATCCTCTTTTACCTACCTCTTTTTCTATCAGACCATTATGTGAAGGTCGCTATCCAGCAAACTATACATACTTTTTCCCATCGAAGACTAATTATGTCAAGCTTGGGGGTACAACGTGGTTTCTATGTATAATGATCTGATAGGTGCTATGTAAATTAGGCATCTTTTCATAGTGATAATGTTCTTACAATCGTAGAAACAGCAAAGCGGAAGACTTGGATATTAGGTTGGAGGAGTTGAAGCAGAGCTGAAGATAGACAATGCCTTTTTGGTATGCCTAAAGAACAATCTGTAACGATCCCATCTCACTGTTATAGCTATAGAGAAGGATGGAGCTACTGTTGAAACAATCTGAAAGAAGCCTATTTCATTGTTATTGTTCTAAGAAAGATGTACGAATGCAGCTATGGTCCAACAATTCTTTTTCAAACCTCCTCACAAGCTGAAAGTAAGCTCACACTACTTTCTTTTTCAATAGAACTCAAAATATTTCTGAATAATACTACAACAGAGATCACACACGAAAAAGTACAAGAAAGAAATCGTAGAGACCTAGTATATCTTACCACTGTAGCTGTTTCTACAGCGGCCCGACCACCCCCCCCCCCTTTTTTTAAAGGGTTGTAGATTAAATGGTTCAATGAAATCCTCCAATTTATTCTACTTGAGAGGACTATATTTCCATTTCTTTTTCAGTTAACCACTTTATATTTTACCATTATGTGGCTAACTAGTAGTTGTCCAGCGTCTGGAAAAAATACCTCATGCTTTCTGGTCATGTGAGTTTCTAACGATGTTATGGGAGGTTTAGTGGGTCTGCTTGCTAAATTGAAGCTTAGTCTCATATTGATCTTCTCTGGAAGCTATAATTTGTTGCATGAAATCCGTGTTTCTGTGATACAGAAGCTCAATTAATTTGCTTGTCATGCATTTTGGTAATTTGGTTATTATCCCCTGCAAGTTGCCTGTGTATGTTTGGAGTAAGATTTATGAATAATATCCTCGAGTCTGTGGTGTGAAGCATAGGAATTGTCTTCTATGAACTATACCTTGGTAGTTGTTCTGTAGTATTCTATATCAATTCTTTGATATGCCATTTTACATACAGTTGAAGAAAATTTTCATGGAGTATCAATCATTTCTGATTACAGATTCTAAGAGATTAATTGGTAGGAAGTACACTGATCCATCTGTAGAGTATGACCTGAAGCTTTGGCCATTCAAGGTCATTCCTGATCCTGGCAACAATCCCATGATTGTTGCATCCTACAAAGGGGAGGAAAAGCAATTTGCACCTGAGGAGATTTCTGCTATGATTCTCACAAAGATGAAGGAGGTTGCTGAGGCCTACCTTGGGTTACCAGTAAAGAATGCTGTTATTACCGTCCCAGCCTATTTCAATGATTCGCAACGCCAAGCAACTAGAGATGCCGGAGCCATCTCTGGCCTCAATGTATTGCGTATCATCGTTGAACCAACAGCTGCTGCGATTGCTTATGGTCTTGACAAAGAATTGCTCAACAACACAGGCGGCCAGAAGAATGTACTTATTTTTGACCTTGGAGGTGGTACTTTTGATGTTTCTCTTCTCACTATTGAGAAGAGCATGTTTGACGTGAAAGCTGTTGGGGGAGATACTCATCTTGGTGGAGAGGACTTTGACAATAGAATGGTGAACCACTTTGTCCAAGCGTTCAAGCGAAAGCACAAGAAGGACATCAGTGGAAATCCGAGAGCTCTTAGGAGATTAAGGTCAGCTTGTGAGAGGGCAAAGAGGATACTTTCCTCTATTCATCAGACATCAATCGAGATTGATGCTTTGTTTGAGGGTACTGATTTTCAATCAACCATTACAAGGCCAAGATTTGAGGAGCTGAACATGGACTTGTTCAGGCAATGCATGGAGCCAGTTGAAAGCTGCTTAAGGGATGCCAAGATGGACAAGCATAGCGTCCAAGATATCGTTCTTGTGGGTGGTTCAACCAGGATTCCAAAGGTTCAGCAGTTGTTGCAAGATTTCTTTAATGGCAAGACCCTTTGCAAGAGCATTAACCCAGATGAAGCCGTTGCCTATGGTGCAGCTGTTCAAGCTGCAATCTTGGATGGCAGGGGCAACCAGAAGGCTCTGGATATTGCACTTATGGATGTTACCCCATTGTCTCTTGGTTACCAAACCAAGGGAGAGGTCATGAATGTTGTGATCCCTAGGAACACCACCATCCCTACGAAAAAGGAGACAACATGTACAACAGCTTGCGATAACCAGACTAGTATATTGTTTCCGGTGTACGAAGGTGAGCGAGCAAGATCAACAGAGAACAATTTGTTAGGTGAATTCACGCTCGAGGGTATTCCTCCAGCCCCTAGAGCAGTCCCTGTAATCAATGTCTGCTTTGATCTGGATGCCAACGGCATTTTAAATGTCTCTGCAGAGGATGAAAATACAGGGCAGAAAAGTAGAATCTCCATCTCTTTTGATAAAGGAAGGTTGTCAAGAGAAGAAATTGAGAAGATGGTCCAGGCAGCCGAGAAGTACAAGTTTGAGGATGAGGAGCACAAAAAGAAGGTCAAGGCAAAGATTGCCTTAGAGGATTATACATACAACTTGAGAGACACCATCAAGAGTAAGAACATTAGTTCTAGTCTGTCATCTGCTGACATGAAGAAGATTGAGGATGCAATTGAGGATGCCATGCAATGGTTGGATGGGAATCAGCTTGGAGAGACGGACGAATTTGAGGACAAGATGAAGGAGCTTGAGAGTATTACCAAGCGCCTTATGATTACGAAGAAGGACTAACGTGATCCTTCCAAGAAGAATTGAGCATGGAACTTAAAAGTTTCCTTCTAAGAAGAATTGGCACGGACCATAAAGTTTTCCTTTTGCATCAAAGGACTTATTGACTTGGGAACGAATCAATCAACTAAACCAAATTTAGTAAGTTGGAAGCTTGGGCTAATTATCCCAAGACTTGCTTTGGAATATGAACAACAATAGTTGTGACTTTTAATTATTTGCACTTAATCTTTTCCTCCAATTTTCTATGGGGTTCATTCTTGATGTGCATTGGACTTCCATACCTTGTTATTTAGTTACGAGTTTGTAAGAAACAACCATGCCCACAGTCCGGATAGTTGCACTAGTAAACTTTGTGCTACCCTATTGCGAGCGCTAAAACGCTAACACTATTACCTTGTCGGACGATAGCAATCTGGCATCCACACTAAAATACTTGCGCTATCACCTTTGTCAAACTGCACTTGCGCGATAGCAGTGGAGAGGGACGGATGGTTCTAATAATCATTGATATAATGGAAAATTCACCTAATATAAACTTCACACTAATATCTTATAACTTTGATGTGAATCCAAGTTTCATACCTTAACAATTGGATTGTAACACCTGAGCCACATGCAATGTGTGATTATAGAAATAATACAGGACAGCACGATTATTTTGACCAAAAAAAAAAAAGTTAATTACATCCACCTCCCTCGTGTTTTAACCAAACTACCACTAGACCCTGTGAGGTTTAGAATATTACAGTCCACCCCTTTAACCTAATACTTTTCAAAGGGTGATAAATCTTAACATGCAATTACTAAAGTACCCTACACAATCACTGAGCTTTGGTTTAGTGGTCATAAAAAAGGGACTAAGTCCCTCTTTGGGCTGTAAGACAGAAGTTCGAACCCCACCTGTGATGAAAAAAAATTCAAATGAGGTGTCAGAAAATCCCTTTGATCTAGTCAGAAAGAAAATTATTAAAGTACCCTACACCAATCTAAGCAAAAGTAGAAAATAAAATAGAATAGAAGTGATACTGGCTGCCTACTATCACTTTTATTGCCACCAGCAGCAAATATTTGCTGCGGCAAATTTAATTAGATCTGGGAGAGATAAAAAAAAAAAATCAATGATTATCTTCTCAAAGCACCTCTCTAACGCTTATGTATCCTTGGGGGGCGGGGTGTGCAAGCACAGGGAGATTAGTCTGGTGAAAATTGGGATACTCCCTGTATTGAACAAAAAAAAGATTATCTTCTCAAAAAAGTCCACTGCGAAAAAGTCCTTGTGAGAGGTGCTCATCTCCTTTTAACTCCATAGAATCTCTCAAACCATTCAAGCCCCTCCCCCATTGTGTCCTACCGTAGCAAGGAAAGAAGCTAATATGCCTACTTGAGAAACCTACACTTAACTAAATGCCAATGCACTTAACTACATGCTAAACCACTCAAGATGGGGAAAATGAATTGCCTTACACCCCATTGACAGTCTGACACCACTTTCGATAGCACTACTAAGTTCTATGTATTTGCAAACTTAAGTGAATTGGGCTTCTTGTGCTTTATGTTGATTGAAAGAGCCAAGCATGTTATATTTGTGGGACGATGTTAACAAAAGTGTCCTTGCGATTAAGGAAAACTTTGGGAGAATAAGGAAGAAAAAATTATCAGATTGAAACAAGCTCAAGGATGATTTGGTTATGGAATTAGTAGATTTCAATTGTTCGTCTACAAGTTTTTTGGCATATTTGTGGGAAAATTATGAAATCAAATGTGGAGGCATGGTTGTGATTTAGTGGTAATGTGGCTAAGGAGTAGTGTGGCTGTGAGGAGGCTGCCTCGAGGTATTTGGAACTTGAAAGGTGTTGGTGGTGGAGGCAGCGAAGTATCTGGTGGTGGGAAAATTGATAACGGTGGCCAAGAGTTGAGAAGAGTATGTTTTAGTTTTTCACTCTTTCCCCTTAATTTTTTTAATCACACTTTTTTCTCTTTAATAATTTTTAAAAGCTTAAAATATAATAGTTTCGAGGGGCAACTTTGAAATTTAACTCAATTTGCTAGCTTAATGGTAGTAACAACGTTAATTTAGTAATGTCAAGGAGCTTTTTGTTGCGTGACTGTCAAGTCAAACGGTGTAGACTATAATATTTCAAACTCAAGGAAGTCTAATGGTAGTTTGGCAAAAACACAGGGGAGGTGGATGTAATTAACTCAAAAAAAAAAAACTACAAACAGTCAAAGCGTAATGATATTTTGTCAAAGACACTATTAGTAGACTGATATTTCTTTAATTCTAAGGTTAAATACACTAAATCTCCCTGAACTTTAGTTGCAATTGCGCTTTATCCCTTGGCGTATTAAATAGTTACTATATCCCTCCCCTTAATGTTTTAAGACAAAAGCCCTTGCAAAAACTGTTTGAATGATTGCGATTGCGTCTTGCATATGAAGAGTTTCCTATCATTGTGAGTTTCCACGATCGCTCAACCACCCATCACCTCTGCCATTGAATGCTAGCTTTTACGTGGTTCTTATAAGTCAGTCCCAATCTTTGTGCATGGTGCGAGAATTGCAAAGCCTTTTGCTGTACACTGCAAGTCTGCAACATATAGCTCCCGGCAACATGGTGCGACCGTGCGAGTGCTAGAAAAATGCATGGTTGCTCCACCACCAAATACCATCCAAGAAAAGTCCTTACCTCTAACATTCTTCGACCTACCATTTCTTCACTCCCCTCTTATTCACCACATTTTCTTTTGTGATTATTCCCACCCTACTTCTCATTTTACTAATGAAGTTATTCCTAAGCTCAAAACTTCACTCTCCCTCACTCTCCAACACTACTTCCCACTTGCTGGCAACTTGATAATTCCTTACAATTCAAGAAAGCCCGAAATCCGTTATGCTAATGGTGATTCAATTTCACTAGCAGTTATCGAGTCAAGCGAAGATTTTAGTCTTCTTACTAGTAATACTGCACGTGCTTCTGATGATTTTTATCCTTTGGTACCGAAATTACCCCCCTCGGTATGCTCGTCTTCATCAGGCGCATTATTAGCACCCCTTCTTGCAGTCCAGGTAACCCTTTTCCCAACTGCAGGAATTTGTGTTGGATTTACCTTCCAGAGGGTGCCGGCTGATGGCAATGCCTGTCACAAATGTGGAAGCGATGAAGAACTAATAGCTAGTGGCTCGCTCCCTTATTATGATAGGAGTGTAATTGATGATCCCAGTGAACTATCTTCAATCTTGTGGGACCAACAAAGGAACAAACAGTTTACAAGTTCTCAGCCAGAATATGTCCCTACCAACAAGGTTCGAGACACTCTTGTAATGCATCAATCTGATGTTCAAAGATTGAAACAAATTGTCTTGGAAAAATGCCCAAAATTATCGCGCGTGTCAACGTTCACTGTCACATGTGCCTATGTTTGGACGTGTTTAATTAAGTCACGCAGGGCCAGTGGTGAAGAGATTAAGGAGAATGATTTGGAGCATTTTATGATTGGTGCTGATTGCAGGTCTCTTATCGCTTCACCATTGCCAGCCAATTATTTTGGAAATTGTCTTGTTAACTGTATAATTACCGCAAAAACTGTTGAACTTATGCAAGAAAGTGGATTTATCAAGGCAGCAGGGTTGATTGGAGAAGTCATACGTGAAAAGCTGCACAATAAGGGTGGGGTGTTGAATGGGGCTGAAAAATGGTTGTCAGAAATTGAAGGTCTGAATCCAGAACGAGTTGTTGGGGTAGCAGGATCCCCCAAATTTGCCGTCTATGACATGGATTTTGGTTGGGGAAAGCCCAGGAAAAGTGAAGTTATTTCAATTGACACCACGGGGTCGATTTCTCTTAATGAGTGCAGGGATAGTAAGGGAGATCTTGAGGTTGGTTTATCTTTGCCAAAAGTAAAAATGGAACCTTTTTCAGCCATTTTTGCCAGTGGCATCATGGAAGCAAAAGATCAACATTGAGCATTAGTCGACATCTCGTCGACTATCCAATTATTTGGTGCTTGTGTTAATGGCACGTGTTTGTCATTAACCAGGGTGATTAATTATTCAAGAGTAAAAGAATGTGTGTGATTTGAACTTCAGGCAGCATCAATCGTTGCAGCAGAACTCTTCAAGCTCGTTGTGAAGGAGTCTTGTACAATTTATGTACGGTGGGGTTTGCTTTGTTTTTGCTTTACTGGTCTTAATGGCTGCACTGCCATTATATTCTGACTGATTAGCCAGTAAATCAGTCTTCTGTCAATAAATCATGTGGCAGCAACTGTTGTTGCATCCAAGTATGTGTACGTTGAATGTTGGTTATCAAACTTGTGTAATTATATGTTTTCTAGGATTCTCCCACAATAACTTGGTTTCTAGGAATATTTTCTAGGATTCTCCCACAATAACTCGTCCCACAAATTTCTTCAGAGTCCAGCTACTTCTCGCAGAAAATTTATAAAATCGGAAGTCATATAGGATTAATTTTCTTCATCCTATAAGGAAAACAATTGAATCCTTTACAAAAGCAAGATTTGGATGCCACCTTCCATTGCCTAATTACTTAGTACTTACTAAACACTCTCTACTGTGCTGGTGCTGACATTGTGTACCATAGGATCCTGTCAAAAGTCTCTAGAGTGCCTTAGCATTTCTTTTTTGCCTTGTGATCAAAGCCCAGTTCAGGATTTGTTTTCTTTTATGTGAAATTGGTACTTTTAGATTAAGGTTACAAACGAATTGAATCAAGTCGAGTTTCGACCTAATTTTATCAAGGTCGAACTCGAACTCGTCGAACTCTCAAATAAAGTTCGAGTTCGAGTTCGACTAAAATTCAAGTCGAGTTAAATTCGAGCTTGAGTTTAAAAAAATGAAAAAATAATTATTTTATTTTTCAAAAAATAATTAAAATAATAATTTTTTTAACCAATAATAAAATATTATAAATATATATGTAATTTTATTATTAAAATAAAATTTATATATATAATCGATCGACTCGCGAACTAATGACCCGAGTATTTTTGAACTCGTATTCAAGTTCAAATTCGAATTAATCACCTCAACTCAAGCTTGACGTGGACCGAGTCTAACATGTTGAGCTCGTGTGCAGCCTACTTTAGACAAATAAAGAGTCGTTTTCAGCATTTCATTTTTGCATTACCTGGCGTAATCTTAAAATATCGTTGATGATAACTTGGCAATAATATAATAATAATGTTATTGGTTGGCGTTGATTTCCAATTGGAATGCGAACTGATGTGTGCATCACTGCACCAAACCACGTGGTGGAATTTCATTACTTGAAAACGTTTTACAGATGGACCTAATCCACTAAAAA